CATTCATTCCTGCGGAAGCTCTGCGGAAGCGCTGCTCGGGCGTCTTGTGCAAGGGAGGTCTGCAGATGGCCTGAAGACGAAGTGGGCAGAAGTTAGTGGTAGGCTAGTTAGCTGTTAGTGGCCATGCGCCATAGCCATAGACAGTTAGTGAGTGTGTATGTGTGTGTGCAGTGATTGGCGTGCATGGTATCCAGGGTGATCCGGAGTTGAGTTGCGTGTGAACTCTGAGTCGAACGTGTAAGTGAGGGCGCCCAGCGCCATAGCCAACTGAAGCGAACTTGATTTTGAGTTGGGTTGCAAGCTACCATATCTCCGAGTTTGAGTTGGGTGCACAGCGCCAAGTTATTCTCATCTGTTGCATGCACGTTTGAGTGTGAATTTGTAAGGCTGATTTCAGGTGAAGCCTCTCATACTTCAGGAAAATCCCCGAAGTAAGTCGGTGGAGCACAAACCTTTGGCCCAAGTGCCAGGCCAATTCAGTGGTCCCGCTCCTGGCCCAGCGATATTGGGGCTGAACTCATTGCTGCGGAGTAGGACTGGCGGAGTCTCTTCATGGTAATCTATCTTCGGGAAATCAAGCGGGACAGATGACAGGCAACAAAGCAGTGTGAGTTGGTTCATTCACGGAGTGCCACCAGGCTGCTGGACTGCCAAGTGAGCAGCCTGGCACTAGTGGAGACTAGAGGAGTGCTGAGTAGTGACAGGTGGATACAAGAGGAACCGATCATGATCTCGGGAGAGAGAGAGAGAGAGAGGTCTCCTTGGCACAAATAGAAAATTCTACAATTTCAAAAAAATAAAAATGCATTCCAATCATCACAGAAGGGGGAAAAGAACGAATCAACATCAAATACCAAAACCGATAAGTTCTTGGCACTTCTTGCCAAACGGGGAGGGGGGGGAACGAATCAAGAAGCCAATCGCAGCTTCACACGTGCCACGTAGTTAGTCCCTCTTTCTCTGTCGTCATCACAGCTGAACCCTCCTGCTGTGGGCAGTAACGTTACTCTTTGATTGTCTTCGTCGGCTTGCTTGTCATCACCTTCCTCCAACTCCCTACTCCTCCCGACTTTCTGTGTCAGTTGTCTTGCCTCTTCCTCATCCCCCTGCTCCTCTTCTCCTCATTCTCCTCTTCACCTCCTCCTAGCCTCCTCTTTCTCCACTCCTGATACTCATACTCTTCGCTGTCTGTCTGTCTCTGTCTCTGTCTGTCTCTCTGCCTGTCTGTCTATCTATCTGTTTGTCTCTCTCTCTCTCTCTCTCTCTCTCTCTCTCTCTCTCTCTCTCTCT